AGCTGACATGGAATCTGACAAATAAGCAAGTAATAGAGACAGTGAACAGCAGTGAAGCATTTTTGCAATAATTATAGTTATTTTAACCAAATTGTTTAGATACGTTTTGGCAATCTCTGGGGCAGGTACTTGAACCCTGATTCTTTAAACCCAGGGATGGGGATACTACCATTGTGCCACAAAAGCTCTTCATTGCAGTAGTTTTGGTAAATCTTATTGCAGCAAGAGAGATTTCATTCCCAAGCTGCCTAAAAAAAACCAAACATGATCAAATTGTCTGAGGCACAGGAACATAAACTACAAGTGCGCACTTCAAAGAGGTACAGAATGCTTTCTCGGGAGATTAAAATAATTGTGGTCTTCGTAGTTTAGTATCCCACACAAACCTCCGGCTTATATCACCCCGTCACAGCATATCCACAGGAAACTGTGTTACGTTACATCCAACAGCAGATCAGTTTTGGAACACAATAGTTAAATATTTTAAGTTGCCAAACAGTTTTCTTTTTCCACTTCAGCAAATTAACTCCTCACTCCTTAGTGAAAGAACGAAAGATTCTGCCAATTAGCCAACTGTTAGGATTGCACTGTAGTGCCTCTGGTAATCCTGTCAATGCATCTAGAATGTGAAGATCACTTGTGCAAGTAAACTTGGAGGTCAAACCTGCAATTTCCTCCCACATATTTATTAAATTAAAACTACATGGCTCTTTTGGAACAATGACTTACTTTGACACAGCTGCCCAAGTCTTCTTCAACTTGAATACACTATTCGATTGCAATGCAGTGGTAATTGCATGCACTGAAGAGAAATTTTGCAAAATCCTACATTCCTGTTAGAACAAAAACATGAGTTCTGTGGAAAAAGCAGTGACTTCCCATGACCCAATACCTCAGACTTTTTAAAACGTTCTATCAGGAAAACGTTAGAAGTGAAAATAACAGCATTAACAAACAGACTTTGTGGGGGAAAGAATTCCACGATTCTTGGCAACTCAAAACTTGATATTCATTTTGTATCCCTCTGAGACAACCTTTTCAGTTCACTTTCTGCCAGCCTTTGACTGGTTAGATATGGTTACTGACACCAAAGGAAAGCTTAAAATGAGTAGGATTGAGACATGGACATCTCAGTGGTGGAAGTGGCGATGGTAGGGAGGTGGAGGCAGGGTAATCATTGATGTTATATCCATTGCATTTAGCTGATAAATGAATGATAGATTGTATTATCTGAGAGAATAGGAGGGCAAGGCCAGTCGCATGAGATACTCATTCAAGGGAAAGCATACAAATCAGAACATTGAGTCTACTTTTATGAATCACTAAGTTATTGATCCTGAGTTAACTAATCTTACCTCGGATAGCAGCTGAACGTCCTTCATCTGCTTGGCCCATGGAGGTAGGGAGAAAACTGGAACAAGTCAAACCTCCCAAATGTGTACTTTGGGGTGGGGTGGGGGGGTGAGGAAACCTGTGAGTGTTTGTTATCAGGTCTCAAAACCACTTCTGCTTGGGGAGGAAGGCCAGGGAGGGGCAGGGTGATCAGACCATTTGGGATTTATTTGGAGGTGCGTCAATTGGCATAATCAGATAAGGCACATGATCAGATAAGTGCCTTATCTGATTAAGTCCAGCAGGTAGGTTCTCAAGCCCAGAGTCTTCTGGCTTGAGGGAAATAAGGCTGCTGCAGTAAAATGGAAGTAATGGAGGGCACTTCAACATGGAAGCCGCCCCTTGTCAACTATTGTAAAAACTCAAAATCAGAACTAGAAAAGTCAGCCAAGTGATCACTGTAAGGTGGCGACTCCTCTTCAGAATGGCCTTTGATAGCG